GCTCTTAGTACAAGCCTGTCAATAAAATACATAGCCGTATCACATTGACAAACTGAACTGAGTCTTTTAAATACAGTGTATAATCACAACAAATTTTTTCTATGTGTTTATCAAGCTCCCTAGCTTATCAAGTTTTTTCAAGTCACTTTGACCTTTAAATGAGCTATTGGCTGCTAAAAACACATATTTTATACTGTCATTTACATTCTCCTTTCAGGTGGTGAGCCAGGTAACTGTGTTATCAAGTAGAATACCACCCATGAGTGGCCAGCAGGTGGAGGAGGGATAAGTGCATCTTTACTGATATTAATTGTTATTTACTTGGGGGTGACTCTTGACTTCAATGAACCAGTTTAGGATGATCACCACGACCTCTAAACAAACCAGGTGGCACAATTCTAAAATTACCAACTTTTTCTTTACATCCATCTAAGTAACGATAACCATAAAATTCATCAACCCTGGTCTTTTCATCTTTCAACTTTTGTTTTTCCTCTTTTGAAAAATTCTTTCTTTGTTCCTTTTCTTCTTGTAAATAATCATATATAGAAGTAAAATCGCATTTTTCAAAATCCTCAATTAGTGGATTTTCTTTAGATTCTTCCAAGATAACTTGCCAATCTTTAAAGAAGTTTTTGTTGAAAGTATCGTTCTTTACATAGTCCATGTTTAATAATGCGCATAAAATGTAGTTACTTCTTCAGCTTCTGGAGTGAGTTCGATTTCAAGTCCTTTGAAAAAAGAAAAAATTTATAAATATAATTAAAAATTATAACAACAACAACAACAATATTTCCAAATGTATGCGCGTTAAAAAAAGGTAATGCCGTACCATTATATTTCATCTTAACATTATGAGGAACGTATTCTGGAGGAAAACAGACATCGTTATGAACTGTTGGTCCATTTAGCTGTCATTGAAAAATAAATTGTTTTCCCAAGAAAAAAAAATCTTGTACAACACCAAGTGCCAATAATAAAGGTTTGTCGATCAAATAAAATTTTATCAATCAAAAAAAGAAACTTTATTGAAATTGATGTATATATCAAAAAAAATTTGCAACATTAAAAATCATTAAATTTTATACATTTAATAATATTATTTGAATAAATTCTTTAAAAACAATGCTGTTTAAATTGACTATATACTATTACTTGTGTGATTGATTCAATCATTAACACCACCAAAGGAATAAAATTAATTATTTTGCAATAAAAGCTATTTGTTTGTTTATTTG